AGACCTTTAGCCGGGCACACGTCAGTGAGCACTCACACACACCAGGCGCGCGGCTCACTGACGTGCGTCTGGCTAAAGATCTGCGCTGATTGGCCTGATTTACTCAATAATTACTCCTTTATTATAAATAATAGAAAAAAATGGTTCAGGACTTTTTGACTCAGTTTTACTCCTTCTACCTGCCTACGAGAGATTGTACGGCAATTCTGGGACACCCTGTATATATGTGCACGCACAGTTTCCGCACAAACATCCTGCGAATGGCTCGTAAGGCCTTATATATTTCTTGTTAACATTTTTTTTTATCATGTTATATGATTCTTTTGTCTCTTTACCAGGTCCAACAATTGCAAGATTCGATGTCCGAGATAAAGCGTTGCATGTCCAGCATGAATCCAAAACCTATTCTCGTTGACAACGGCGTCGCTACCCAGACGGAGATATCTGCCGTCCACACACCGGCGGGCGAAGAAAATACATTCCCGTACGGACGTCCTAACAGACCGCAAAGTTTACCGATACATCAAACGATACACGAGGGAAACGAGAACAAGAGCTTTGCGTCAAATTTAGTTGACAGCGTGTTGAAAAAGGTGTCGCAGTCCACTGATACAACGGACGACGAGGTAAATACGGATATCTTGAATTCGAACGAGAATCCCGAAGCGATAAACTCAACGAACGAGAATCCCGAGATGTTCAAGAGTTGCGAGGAGGTAATTGAATCCGATTTCAAGGAAGCGGTTGAGAACGAAGCGACCGATAATTATGAAAATATAATAGAGAACACGGCAATAGACAGTGAAGTGTGCGAGGAAATACTGTGCAAAGAACTGCACAATCTGATCGAAACGGAAAACGGATCGGACGATTTTCAAAACTGCGAGAAGGAGAAGGATGACATGGTCGATGATGACAAAGAAATTTGTTAGATTTTTGGACTGTGCCGAGTCAAATCCTATATTTTATGCCTTGTGAGAGTAATATAATCACGATGTGGGGGATGGATAGTATATATTCTTGTCTCGGAACATACGTGGTAAAAGAAAAGAAAAAACGGAAGAAGGATATTTGAAAATGCTCACTGTAAATAACATCAAAAAGTAAGTCTAATTCGTAATTACATAAAATACAGGACTCAACTTTAATTGCGAGTCATTTTATTACAAAAGAAGAAGGGATACTTTGATCACGAACAACACGCTGCCATTTAGATCTAATAAAAGTATCCGCGTCTCTAAACAAAAAAACGTGTTGATGAAAAACAATGCGGTATATAAGCAGTGTCTTCGTACTCATGTCAATAACTAATTAAATATGTAAGTCAACTTGTGCAAAATTCGTTACGTTTACTCGTGTATTGTCGGAATTCCGGATACTTTCCGTCCATATGACTAATTGTGTGTGTGACGGTATCCATATATACTTGTAGAGCATGTATCTCACTGAAATAATATTATCGAACACATTTGTATTCTAAGTCGTGTGTTTCGCATTTCATTAATTTTATTCATTTTCTTTTTATTTCTTCGAGAGTTTCAATATTACTTCGAGAAAATTATATCTTAACAATTAAAGCTTATTGAAGCTCGATAAGTTACTAAACTAAGAAATATAATTACGGTCATCCGAGCCGATCGCAGGATGTTGTGCGGAAAAACTGCGTATATATATATATATAATATATAATATATAATAT